GATACGGTTAGCTACAATACTCCGCGAAGAGCCTGTAGCGATGTATGGGGGCGATTCGTCGAGCTGACTCTGAAAGATGCCAGACCAGTCATCGCACATCTGACCCACGTACACAGCCGTGTTTGACCCTCGCAACTTCTCCATGGGCAGACCAGCAGCCGATATACCATCGTAGACAGTCTCCATGAGAAGCCGCTGTTGCGGATCAATACATTCGGCTTCCTTTGGGAGGATATTGAAGAAGTTTGCATCGAACTCGCCGATGTCTTGGTCCAGTAGGTATGAAAATTGAGCATTAGAGGTGCCATGGTGTGTTGGCTCGGGATGATAGAACAGGTCAGTGTTAAAGCGTTCTTTAGGGATCTTTTTCAGGACATCACGCTGTTGCTTTAACATCTCCCAGAGCTTGGATGGGGTATCACAGCCTCCAGGAAACCGGCAGGCGCTACCAACAATGGCAATGGGCTCCGTGGTATAATTCATGGCGACTTGCAAAGTGGTCGACAGCTGCCTAGAGATCAAATGACAATGGAGAATAGAGATTGTAGAGCAATTTCGCGGATGTTGACACCCTACATGTGGTTTTAAGTTCAGACACCTTTTGAGACCTCAGGCTTGCTTGATGGCCGGGTCATACACAGATCCCTTGACACCCCAAACCTTGACTATTATTAACTAGTGGTATGCGCAGTCGGTCGGCGTTACGCAACTTAGCCTGCAGACCTTCCTTATAGCTCATTCTACCTGTTCTTCATGGTTTGTGTGCATGCTTGTGGGTGTGTGGGGTGTGCATTTTTATTCCTTTCTCTACTTTTTCCAGGTGAAGTAAGGATCTCCCATGCAGCGCAGGGAAAGCAAAGACTCGACATGACATCTCCGTTGTCATTCACTTTGTTGAGCTCACAGTACCTCCACCGTACATTTGGGGCGGTGTTCCAGCAACGACATGGCTGCTATATGTTCCTATTCAGAAGGTTATGAGCAAGTACGCTGGAATTTGGGATTGACTTTTGTAAAAGCATCATAACAGATATCGCAGGTATGCGAGTGGATATGTTTCCGAGCTCACAATCAGTCACCTTAGTCTTCGACAGCTGTGAGTGGGAGAGTATAAACTGTAGATCTTACTATACTTGCAAACATCCACAATATTTTCAAAGGCAACTAACTCTACTGTAAGCTGGCCTGGGTCATGCTTGGAAACTTCGTGGTCGTGAATGACACATCGTAGATACCAGTAGAGAGGAGGTCTTGTCTCGGGTGAAGCAATCTGAAAGCTCTGGCTGTACTAGGTTCAATAGTATGGTGGATCTATAGGACTCTACATTATCAGTTCTAGCAGTCGAACCACCAATTGATCAAGCTATATCCTCGGCAGATTGTCATTGATGGTGAGTAGATGGCGTACCGTATACCGCAGAGGGCCCTGATACGCACTACGGTCACTCAGTTTATACTCCATGCGGACGGATGGACAACAACGTATTGGATCCCGTCGACGAGGTCTGGACCAATCTGCGAGACCGTACCCGCATATTAACCCCATAAAGACAGGTAATAATCAATAGTGAATTAAGACTGCATGTGCATGTTCGTGTGTAACCCCTTCTCGGGGATCAGCTCACCGTGCAAATGCTAGTCACCGCCTCCTGTCAAGCCTGTCAAGGCGGCTTTGAAGCTATTCTGTTTAGCTCTGTTCGGTTAGCAATAAATTGTCAGACAACAGGTCTGAAGCTAGCCAAATGAGCCATATATAAACATGAAGGGACATGCAAAATGATACCAAACGCACTTGGACCGTGAGAATGGGGAAGAGAGAAGAGATGAGAGGAGGGGGGCCGTCGAAGCCCCAGTCACATGATGCATGCCGCAGGTTAATCAAGACTGGCCGCCCATATTTGGATGATCTTGTTACAAGTACCCATTCTCGAGCCCAATGGAGGTACTTGGCACTAATATGACAGGTTCGATGGATAAATCTCACGTTGTAACATGCAGTGGGGAACCGATCAATTGATATATCCTATTTCCCGTGCCGCTTACAACCACGAGGGCCCCGATACTTTGCTTGTCAACTGAGCTGTCAACACATGTACGTAAGTCCAAAGAAAAAAAAAAGATGATGATGAAGAAGAAGAGGAAGAAGCAGAAGAAGAAACAAGGGACGAGAAAAGAAAAGAAAAGCACAAAGAAAAAAGAAAACCCCAGTACAAGAATATAAGGTATACATTAAGTGATATGACACGCTATCTTCTCTTTGCAATGAGTGAATTAGACCCACCCTTCACGCATGTATTACGTTCAGTACTACAAATCCTTATTCTTTATACCGCATAGTAGAGTATATTGACTTCTACTATATGGAACATAATTAGAGGAGTGTAAGCACAGGTCTGCTGAGTACCCTGTAAAGCCCCAAAGCGATAATGTCATCCGTGATAGCATTGCGCCTGTGCAAGAATGGCTGCCTGCATGCAGTTTGTGACCACGGACAAAGAGCATTAAGTCAAAACTCCTTGGCTACGGCGCAAGTCATCTACAGATGCCAGTTGTCCACTTCATGCGTTGCTTGTAGTGATGAGTATTACAATAGTCGCAGCAGTACAAAGCAACGGCAGCAAATATTCCGCACCCAAAAGAACAAGTAATTAAGACTGAAAGAAGACGTCTCGATAGATGTTTAACGAAGCACACCGCAAAACTCAACAAAACTCAACAATCGCCCCTACCGCAATCTTGGCATTTAATGGCCCCTTTAAATGTTCTGAAATCGGTCACATAGGCTGAACGGGGTGCTGGCTTCTCATTCTTATGAACATCGCTTCTTTCCCGAACCTTCGCAGACTAAGAATTATTGACAGAGGTTTAATATAAATAAAATTAGGGAAGTTGTATCCTGGAAATCATATTCTTCCCCATACCTGCATTCTTCAGCTCGGGGCATCTCTATTGCCTACATGTACCATGGTTGGAAAGTTGAACACACATCTAGCAGTGGTCACGAAAGGCCCCAAAAAGGCCAGTCTGGTGACCGACCGACCCATCCCTCGACTGCGTGATGATTACATGCTTGTCAGAACTGTAACAGGTAAACATATCCACCTCTTCGCTGTACTGGTTCAGTAACTCTCGTTATCTGCTCCTTCTTCTCACACCATGATGCAGTGGCCCTCAATCCAACGGACTGGAAACATATCGACTTAGTGCCTAGTGAGGGGTGTACCGTGGGCTGTGACTTTGCCGGCATCGTCGAGGAGGTTGGTCCCAAAGTGTCCGAGAGATTCAAGAAGGGAGATCGAATCCTGGGTCTCACACATGGATGCAACGCCGTGGAGCCTGAGGATGGCGCGTTTAGCAAATACGTCATGGCCAAGGGAAATGGGCAGCTCAAGATTCCGGAATGGATGAGTTGGGAGGACGCGTGTACGGTTGGAGTCGGATACACGACCGTTGGCCAAAGTCTTTATCAGAATCTTGGGCTCCCAATGCCCGGGAAGCCGCGGGGCCCCACTACACCAAAGACTGTCTTGATTTATGGAGGATCGACCGCGACAGGTACCTTGGCTATTCAGTGTGCTAAGCTATCTGGAATGGAAGTGATCACGACGTGCTCGGTCAGCAGTTTTGACATGGTCAAGGAACTCGGGGCGGATGCGGTGTTTGACTATAGCAAGCCTAATGCCGCGGCCGAGATCCGGAGGTATACCAGGGATAACTTGAAGCTGTGCTTCGACACCGTTGCAATGGCGACCTCGGCTCAGTTTTGTGCAGAAGCTCTGACCAGTAAAGCTGGAGGCCGGTATCACACACTGCAGGAACTGCGATGCCCTCGGCGAGATGTCCGGTCGACTGTCTCAATGGCGTATACTGTCGTGGGAGAGCCATACACGATGGGACCCCAGAAGGTGCCCGCCAAACCAATTGATATGAAGCATCACCTGGTATGGCAGTCAGTGTTTCAGGAATTGTTAGACCAGGGTAAAATAAAAACCCATCCAGTGTCTAAGCAGCCATATGGGCTCAAGGGAGTGTTGTCTGGACTGGATATGTTGCGCGAGAACAAAGTACGAGGGCAGAAGCTGGTTTACCGGGTGGATGAGACACCACATCAATTTTGACTCGGCATTTAGTCAAGAAGTTGTGGGCCAGATCCTATACCTACTGTGTACTACTCGGAGGCAACGAGCTTGCAACTATCGCAGGGCGCTTGCCTAAATTCCCGAATATATTTTGTCTCTTATCCCTCCCTGGAAATGATTATGTTTCCTTCATTGAAAATCTGTTCTAAAAATAAAAAGGCCGGGCACCTACGCCCTTTGTAAGAAAGCAGTCTTATAGTGGTCTGCCTAAGTTGAGATCCGATGTGACAAAATGCTGGTAATCTACTTTTCTATTTTAATTTTAATCTTATTTTTATTTTTTTACATGAGCGACCACATTTGTTGAAGTAAACATTCCGTATGTAGTTAATGCATATAAGCTATCAACCTGTGATAAAGAATGATAGATGCAATAATCCATGCAATGATCTACAGTGGGATTTCTAAAATGTGAGCTATCACAATTGCCAGAGGAAGAGGTTGCCTCCCGGACCAACTCTCAAATATCAACTGTACTACGTAGAGTACAACCAGAATGACACAAGATGTGCGCCACTATAATAATCGCCTAACAGTAGGGGACTCCTTACTCCTTCGGAGCATATTATGAAGTTCTCCGTTTAGAAACTAGCGCCCTGACATCAGTCCATTGCAACTACGGGTTTAATTAATTGAATAATGAATGTAGTTTTATTCCGCTTGTCCCTGAGAGCAATAACGAAATCTAGCATTGTAACTACTGTTCTTGGTCTGTCGGTCTGTCACCAGGTGAATATTTGAGGGGGATCAAATACCCTAAGCCACTTCATCTCTTCCTTACAACTGGTACCAAGTCCGCTTGTTGTATACGTTGCTCGGGATTTGATTGCACGGCATCCCTCATCACCTACAACTACAATAATGGACAATTTTGAGCGGCTACGTCCAGCCGGTTAGTAAGAATCTTCTGTACTTAAATTAATAATGGGAAGATGGACATGACCTGACCAATAATCAACAGGGTCCTTGGAGAAATACTTCGTCGCGCGCAATCAACTCGGACTCTACTCCATCGTAGCAGTATCGGCAACCTATATCCTGCCTGACACTTTTACACTACCACTTGAGAGCTATGTATATAAAGCATGTGAAACTTTGATCAGCGAGCATCCTTCCCTATCCGCGATTCCAGTCCAAGGCAGTGACGATACTACGTGGTTTATGCGCCTTCCAGAAATCGACCTAAGGCAGACAGTATCGATTCAGAAGCGCATCCGCGACTTTCCCGAGGAAGACGAGCCTGACAACGAGCTATGTGAATTGCTGCAAGTTCAACAGAGAACTGGCTTTGTGGCACCTCTGCCATATTGGAGACTGTTCGTTTTAACGGATCTTGATGAATCGAACGAGCAGCGCTTCACCGCAGTCTATGTGTTCAGCCACGCAATTGGGGACGGAATATCAGGGAAAGCCTTCCATGAGACGTTTTTGGAAGCAATGCATGATGTAGGAGCTTCCTTAGCCAGGGGCGAGGCTCCTGAAAAGGTGATTCCCTCACCCAAGGTTCCTCTGCTGCCTAAACTGGAAGCACTTCATCCGTGTTCTTCAAATGTCACTTTCCTTCTTCATGGTCTTTTCAGGGCCAGAATCTGGCCATATAATGATCCATCTCTTTGGACGGGTCCGAAAGTATTTGTTCCCATAAAGACTCGAATACGTCAAATTATCTTTCCAGCGGCTATATCTGCAGCTTTCAGGAAGAACTGTCGTGAGAGAAAGACTACTATTACCTCGGCTCTACATGCAGCTGTCGCACATGCTTTATTCAACTGTTTACCCAACAATTACACGAAACTACAAGCAACCGGTGCTATGTCGGCTCGACGATGGCTGAACAAAGGCGGGGGAATTACAGACCGATCAATGGGGAACTGGGTAATGGATTACAAGGAAAGATTTTTTCGAGACCAGATGAATCAGTATCCTCCAGGAGCTTTTCCATGGAATGAAGCAAGGAAGTCCCGTGAAACAACAGAGCAAATACTCGGTCAAGAAGGCAAGAATACTAGTGTGGCCTTGCTCAAATACGCGGGTAACATCCATGATGTTCTAAAGGGGAAAATAGGCAAGGACCGAAGTGCAAGTTATAAAGTATCGAATTTGGGAATATTGAAATTTGGTAGGCGAGATCCATCACGGCCGCAGATAACACGGGTGATGTTCTCTCAGCCACTCGATGTTTTGGGTGGGGCTCTAGCGGTATCTTTAGTCTCAGGTGAAGATGGCGCTTTGGTTTTGGGAATGACATGGCAAGAAGGCATTGAGAATATGGAGTTCTTTGAAGCCGTTATCGACACGGTTGTTAAGGATGTGCACAATGCTGCTAAGTGATTTGGCGACCCATGCATATTGGAACTCAACCAGATACTAAACACTATAGGGGCGCGTTAGGGTGCGCGGTGAGGTTAATATAAAAATCGTTTAAAGCCGTAAAAGCTGTTAAATTTGTGTGCAGCTACTACTAAGTTGTCAATAGTTTCATGAAACTGTTAGTATGTAACTACGCAGGTATAATTTCTCGACTTAGTACGATTATTATATGTGTCCGTGAAGCCCTCTCACACATCTAAGAGATTTTATGAAATAAGTATGTATTTATTGATATTACATTTAGTTATTTAACTTGTACCTTTGCTAGCTGGCTAGAATCACCCAACAACTACGTCAGTGGTCTGCTATAGTGTTGAAGCACCGAGATCACGATAATGATATACTAACTACTGCCAACGCTCTACCAAATTGACTGTACTGATAGTGGCAGTACTATGCTATCGTGACAAGAGGGATGTGATTCTCTAGTAAGTAATGTAGATAGAGGATGGAATTCTCAGGAATGTAATTTAGGGAAGCAATTCATGGCGAAATGAGATTATAGTATCTAGAAGGACGGTCCTGGATTTCATACGCAAGTTTGCGCAGATACTTATCCTCGAACAATCTCGAAATCATCATCGAATTATTACTAGTCTAATGTATACATACAGAATCAAAAGAAAAGGATCAAGGCGACGAACACATAAAAATAATAAAGAAAAAAGGAGATAATGTTCTAAGACAGCTAGTGATCATCACGTACAGACCACATTCTTCCGTCCCGCAGGCTCATTCTAACCATCTACCTGCGACGGTTACTGAATCAGAAAGCATCAAATTAATGAGTGACATATCTATAATAATGAGTGACTGGTGTATTGAGTATATCAAGCGCCCTTGGCGCCCTTAACAGGCCCGGTCTTCGAACCGTCCATGTTAGTGTTCAGGGCCTTGATCAGCCGAACGCCTGCGTCCGCTGTCTCATTGGGAGCCCACGACCAGAAGCGTCCACCGCGGCCCATTTCGTGGTGATGTCCGGGGTGCAGGAAATCTTCCTTAGTGCCAGGGACATCAGTGGACGAGGAGAAAACGCTGACCCGGTCCTGGAACCGGACCCGCGGTTTAGCCCGAGGGGATACCCGGCCCGACGTGGCTTCCAAGAAGCGTTTGCGCATAGCGTAGCGCTTCGATTCCTCGCGACGGAGGGAGATGAAGCTAATCCTTTCGAGTCCGCTTCGCACGATGAAGCGAACACCAACATAGGCCCATTCGGCAAGGAGGAGAGTGAGGAGGAGGGACGACATGTTGACCTCCTGGAGTCCAGCGCGGTAAAGGTACACGATGGCGGCGGTGGACAAGGTACCGAGCCAACTGAGCACTTCCAGACCCATGAGAGATGGTCCGATCGAGTCAGCTCGGATGGGGGGAGGTCTTTGACACTCCAAGCTTAATTTGAAGAAATCGCCTCGCAGTTCCAGCCAGTTGTTGGCAAGGAAACCCAAGGAGACCAAGGGCCATGCAACTCCAAATAGAGCGAGAGAGCCAAACTGCACGCACATCTCCAGAATATCTTCATGAACATCGTACTCATCCGCGTCGATTTCGTCACGGACACGCGAGAGGAAACCAGCTTCTTCCGGAGCATCGACTAGGAGTTGATCGGTCCTCTGAGAGTAGCCACGAGGACGCGAAGAGTCCCGACCTTCGCGCCAGTCACGCCACTTGTGCATCAGGGTTTGCTTGACATAGGGAAGCACAATTTCCTCGCCGAAGTTGAGGATCTGAGCGGTCGCAGAGAGATAGATCACTTCCTGTTGCAGTCGGGAGGTGTCGATGTGGATTTCACGGGCAAGGTTGGCGGAAAGGAGACCGTAAGAGCGAAGAGTGTCAAGATAGGGCACTATCTTGCTTCCAAACGGGACGTATACAAATGCGGTCAGTAGCGTGGGCAAAAAGGCCGTAATAAAGTGCATCACGAATGTCTTGGCTGTCTGTGCCAGGTCGTATTGATCCTGCGTGCGGTAGTTCTCGTAGTCGGTCAAACGCTTCGCAAAATCCGTCAAAATATTGGTTATGGAGGGCAATGAGAGCGAAAACAGAACGGTCGGCAGAAACTCCAAGTATGCCTTCATTGGGCCATTGTACACTTCTGACACCAAGATTTCCAGAGCAAAGGATAGGATGATCAAGCTACCCAATGCCATGCTTGCAACGGTCGCAAAGGGAATCATCAGGAGCTGTCGAGCGAATTGCCTATGAGCCGAAAATACGCGAATGGTCTCGCCGGTGTGCGGATTTTGAAATTCTTTGTCCCAAACCCATTCTGGTCGGTTCACTTTGAGGAATCCTACGTCCTTGACGTTCCAGCGCAAGCTCAGGTCGAGCTCGCGGGTTTTCCAGTACTCGACGAACACGATGCCCCAGATGCAAGTCACTATCGCACATGTAATCGAATAGGGGCCCAGGTAGAACCAAGAGAAGACGCCCCAAACAGCCGGGAAAATCAGGAAACAGGAATAGCAGTGGATAAAGGCAAAGTAGAAAGCAACCTGAGATGTTAGTATATTTACAGAGCCAAAGAGACCCAACTAAGTTTCTAATGGTGCTCACCTTCTCGCCAAACAACGCGCGAATAGCGTCAAGATCCTCAGCCGTCAAGAAAATAGTCCGGCTCCATTTCCGGAGCAGCTCCGCGTTGGCGGAGCGGTCATGCAGAGGGATAGCCGCCGTGATATTCTTCCATTGGCCCACCTTGGGGGTAATTCCAGCGCCTCCAAGATGCTTTTGCCATGTCACCGCATGGTAAACAGATCTGAGGGCCTCCGCAGGAGTGTCGGCGTCAGTCTCGCCCTCGTCTCCGCCCTCAGGAAACTCGTGGATGATTCCATGAAGCCAGTCCTTGACACTATACGTCGTTAGCTTTCCCGATCATGCACCATTTGTTGTTACCGATCATCCGTACCGAGATTTGTGTACCAGGTTGCCCAACAGATCGGGCGGAACCCGAATGCAGACGAGTAGGGAGGCGCCGTAGCCATGACGGACTTGTACCTGGAGATGCGCTTCTTGAAGGTCGTGGATTAAAGTTCGAAACTCTTGGATCGCCTGGGAGAGCTCTGGATGGGAAGAAGACGGTGTGAGATCGGGCGTCAGCCGGATGGAATTGGGAGGAATGATTGCTTACCGACATCCTCGAACGAATAGTGGATGACCCAATCGACGCCGAAATTATCCAGTTCGGCCTGGTCGAGGGCTCCGTGTCCAGCAAAGAGACCCATCCTGGATCAACTGACGAAAGGAAGGACAGGAAGATTCACAGAAGGGGGTGAAAGGGGGAAAGGAAAAGCAAAGAATACCAGATCAGATTTGAGCGATTGATAACGAACGAGATAGCCTCATCTCCGCGGGGACTCACGGATGCATCCGAGCTCGGTGGGATGGGGAAGGGAGGGGGAAAGCCGATGGGGAACTGAAGAGAAGGGGAGAGAGAAAAGGGAAGGAAAAGAGAAGGATTGCAAGGGATAGAACGGATGACGCTCGCCTGATTGATTGCGATGGGAAGAACTATTTTCTTTTATGGCGTAGCGTGATATTTTCCACAGCGGCATTCTGATTATTAATGGATATTCATTAGTTATGTGTCCATCCAGGCGGGATGATATCTGTTGTTCAGCGTACTCATGATACAACGAATTTCACGATGCCCCATCCCTTCGACTGGCCAGCTTGCCTTTGATTTACCCGAGGGCCGTGCCAAGTCCGCCTCAGCCCTACAGGGCGACACGACCATTGGTTCGCTGCGGTGGCTCTAGCCGTATTAGCAATCCAGCTGTTACAAGGTCTGTTCTTTTTGAAATCTTCAACAGCTGATACCAGTAATACCGAAGTTATATCCGTGGTTTGGTGCTGGATTTCTGACGAAATCCCCCGCGTCCAAGACAGGGGAAGAACGAGGGGCTTTAATTATATTGCGATGCTTATTGAAATACTTATAATCAGTCATGGGCGCGATCATTCCTCGCATATTACTTACTTGATTTAATCTAGCTTCCTCTAGAGATTATAAGCATGCTATTGTAAGCATCTCAAGCAACCTGCGCACCGTACATGAAATACTGCTGCCTGACCCAGACAATCCTTGCTTCTTGCGTCACCCGGTAATGATTGGTCTTCGAATGCCCGTTCAATTTTAGCAGCGACTCGGCTGAAAGCGGAATGATTGATGTGGGCCCTCAGCGGGGCGCTAAGACATCAACCAATGATGGTTCTCCACTGCGCCCAATAATGAAGCAAATCCCTGCAGGCATCCATTTTTGGCTGGTAATGAACGGGTTACCAACCAACAGCTTACCATGTAACTTACCGTGCTGGTACCTCAAGTTTGCCTTTTCCGGACGCCAAAAGCAACCTCATGGACCAGGCACCGAGCTATTGGCAGAACTTCAAATGGCTCGAATTTCCCCCGTCAACCTCCCAGGCCCCAGTCTCTGTCTGGCAGTAACGAGTCAACCCATCTAGACTACAGCCGCAAAACCGACTCGCGTGATCTAGCTAGGTCCCCGCAATAATAAAGTCAGAGATAACGGCCTGCCCACTGCGCAGCGCGCTCCACTCCAGCCAGCTTCACTGCAGCATCACTCATCATTCCGTGAGCTCCGGCCGAGGATCCAGCCTCTATCTGCCACTTCATTAAACCTACGATATAAATATCACATCAAAAGACCCTGATCGTCCTGTTTCTTTGTCCACTAGTCCTTACTAGACGGATCTTCGACCACTAGCGTGGAACATCACCCTTTTCTATCCCATGGAATCGATGCTTGCTTCGACTGTTGATCTCATGGCTCGTCGTTTCTTCCCAGGACATAGCGCCGCTTTAGGCCTGAGTCTATTCCTCTTTCTGTTTATGTTCCTTCCGACGCTCGTGGTCTTGCTAGCTGTCGTGGTGTTCTTCCTGTTCTACTATCCTCGTCTTCAGAAGCCGTCGTCGCATGATCATTAGTATCTGTTTTTGGAAGCAGACGCTTGGTATGTATGCTGCAATAGTCATGAGATTGCTAATGCTGATCATGTTCTAGTACAATATAATATATGGAATACGGAGTTTACGACATGATACCACCGGGTTCGACAACGTTGTTTATATATCATGTATTATTATGTGGCATGATATACACCACGAGAGAATCTACCTTCTTATGTTAATCCTATTTTTCTTAACTACAGAAATTGTTTTCTTAATAGTTGGTCATTTAATATAAATACTACTATTATGCCCAAATGCAGTCGAAGCTGCGATGCCTTCGTTGGTTCGGAACTGACAGTCGGGATCAGTATAAGACTATGTGGATCAGATATATTGTGCAAATGCCAGCCCCTGACAACTGCATAATCTAACGAAGGCAGTGGCAAGATTACTGTGACCTAGTATCACCCGTAAGGCTTTCTCACAAGTAGTACTAGTCACTCCATCCCGACAGGGGTGCGATCCCGTAGTAACAATCAGCCTATCCAATATTCTTTTGTACCCACACTAGTGTCAACCTTATCACAATTAGCATAGTCTAACTCTCATGGTCTGGACTTACCTGCGTAGCTCACCCTCTATCCAGCTCCCTTGCCCCTATAGTACTTAACTCTTTTCTTCTCTTCCTAACCAATAATAAGTGAGTATGTCATACCGAGATCTTTCTCCTTACTATATACAACAGTTTGAGTGAGTCGAACTATATACCAACAGTCGGGTCAACACCTCACTTAGAGTGACCACATAGATTGTGCCTAAAATGAGCAGCATAAAAATTGCACCTGAACTTAGAAGTGGAATAAATACATCAGCTCACAATACCCATCCTCACCCTCAAATCAAAGCATGACGTGTGAAGGCGGTGTACCTCAATTTACACCTCGGATCTCAAGTCACCCCACCATTCGGAATTCCGTCGCTCTCCAAATACCCAACTCTCACCAACTATACGATCCTCCCAACCCAGAACAGGCGGGACAGCCTCCTCCAAACAAGACCTACCTAGATTGTGCCAACTCAAAACCCCACTGTGACTTCGACAAAGCAACTCACCCACCGACAATGTGCCTTTACACCACCCCGGAGTTCAACTTCGGAACTCCGACCTACGGAGCGGGAATGACAGCATAGGTGGGCCCTCGTCCATATAAATTTCCCCATGGGCACCAGCAATTGCCATATAACTTTACCTCACAAATAACACAAAAAAACATCTACACATTCCTCAAACCCTGAAACCAACACCACCAACCTACATACATACATACATACATCCAACCAACAATGACAACCTACACAACCGACCACGCCCCCGCGGTCCTCCAAACCCACGGCTGGCGCACCCTCAGCAACTCCGTCCCCTACATCCTCCCCTACCTCAAACCCAACATGACCATCCTCGACATCGGCTGCGGCCCCGGTAGCATCACGATCGACTTCGCGCGACACGTCCCCTCAGGCCACGTAACGGGCGTCGAATACGTCGCGGACCCACTGGAGCAAGCACGCACGCTCGCCTCCTCACAAGGCATCACAAACATCACCTTCCAAGTAGCCGACATCCACGCCCTCCCGTTCCCCGACAACACCTTCGACCTGGTGCACGTGCACCAAGTGCTCCAACACATCGCGGACCCCGTGCTGGCGCTGCGCGAAATGCGCCGCGTGGCTAAACCCAACGGGGGGATTATCGCGGCCCGCGAATCCAGTGCGATGACGTGGTATCCTGAGAATAAGGCGATTGAGCTGTGGTTGGATATTACGACGAAGATGGCGAGGGACAGAGGTGGGAATCCGCACCCTGGGTCGAGGATTCATGTGTGGGCGGAAGAGGCGGGGTTTGTGCAGGAGAGGATTAAGAAGACGGCGGGGTCGTGGTGCTTTAGTAGTCCGGAGGAACGGAGGTATTGGGGGGGTTCGATGGCTGGGAGGGCGGCGAATTCGGGGTTTGCGACGCAGGCGCTGGAGGGGGGGTATGCGAGTAAAGAGCAGTTGGAGGCGGTTGTGAGGGGGTGGGAGGAGTTTGTGGAGTGTGAGAGGGCTTGGTTTGGGTTGTTGCATGGGGAGATTGTTGCTTGGAAGTAGGGGTGATTAGTTATTGGGTGTTTTGGGGGAAGGGTGGGGTTTGTAGAGTATGTATGTAGTACTGCTTAGATGCACTTGTAGTATTTGTTGTATTGCTGTGAGTGCCAGATGAGGTACCGCGTATATATGCGATGTGAGTTGAAGGGTTGATAGATGTCCAACAGTAGCTACTATAGTCCTATTATTATGTATTCACTCAACAGAAGTTCATTGTATGATTGTGTAGAGAATACTCTCATTATTAGTGCGTTGTGATAAGTACCAGAGATACTAAGATAATATCATATCGACAGAAAGTATTGTAAGTTATCGGTAGAGTGAGAACCTGACCGCCAAGGCGACATAGACCTTCAATTACAAGTTTATTGAGTATCATGTCAAGACACAACTACGCCCCAGACATCCTTTTGTGTCAAATATATTCCTTGAACAAGGTATGAGTTAAATGCATAATAGATACAGCTAAACAATCCCGAAAGCTATGCGAATAGAATTTGTGTATTAACAAGCAGAGACAGGTATGCCACATCTACCATCCATCCTCCTCGTAATCATATGCAGGCTCCTCTCCACGTTCGATGATAGTAGTTTCACGCTCGTAGACGACAGGCGGCCGGTCATAGTCATACGACTGTTGTTCTTCACGCTCCTCTTCCTCCTTTTCTTCCTCGTGTTCGTCTATTGTTCTCGTTAGTATACAGTTATATCATGACCATGGATGTGGTCTGGGGGGGGGGGGGAAGGGGGGCGTACGAATCTCGTGGGAAATGAATGCAGCGCCGAGAGCACCAACAGCCAGACCAGCTGCGCCACCCATAAGCATGTTCTTACGGTCCTTCTTCTTCTGCTCCTCCTCGGAGATCTGCTGTGCCTGGGGGTCGGGGTAGTACCCGCCCTCCTGCGGCGGAGGGGGGCTTGCGTAGTAGCCCGGACCACCGGCCGGGGGAGGACCAGGGGGAGGCATATCGCGGGACATGTCAGCGGGAAGCTCCCATTCTGTGCGGCCGGAAGGCATGTGGACGTAGTAGGCGCGGCGGAGGCTGGGCTCCCACTCCTGGGCCCATTCCATGGGAAGAGGAGGGGGAGGGACGGGAGGAGGACGAGCGGAAGGAGGAGGGCTGGCGTAGGGAGGACGAGGAGCAGGAGAGTCGAAGCCGCGCTCGCCACCTTCGTAGGGAGGACGAGGAGCAGGGGAGTCGAAGCCGCGCTCGCCGCCTTCGTAGGGAGGCCGGTCACCGTATGGGGGACGGTCATAGGGAGGGCGCTCCGGCGGGGGAGGACCGGAGTTGTATCTCTCTGGAGGGGGGCGCTCATAGGAAGGGCGGTCGTAAGGAGAACCCTCGTAACGAGGACGATCATAGGGGGGCCGCTCCGGGGGAGGACCGCCCTCGTAGGGAGGACGGTCGTATGGCGGACGGTCGTATGGAGGGCGTCCGCCGTAGTAGGGTTCTTGTGGTGGGGGGTAGTAAGACATGGTGGTTATGGAAGGATTAGGAAATTAGGAGAGAAAAGTAGAAAGGATGAGAGGGAAGAAGAGAATAAGGGAAGGATGAAAGACCCTTAAATATTCAAAGCGGCTCCGGAGACCCTGTCAGGTGGAGGGGGGAAGTTTGGACTTTGGACACGGATGCATCATTGGGGGTGGCCCCTCTTCGACTTCACCCTGCCACTGGCGCGTAAGTAACATTTAGGCCGAGATTAACGGCTCCCAGGGATTCGCACTCAGCCCATCGGGACCCAGACAGGCGCTAAGAGTAAGGAAAAGGGTTCCCCACTGGGTTATTAGCTGGGATGGGGAAGCGTCAATAGTCGGGTGGATGAGTGGTGACTGGGAGCTGTAGATCTGGCAGTTTGGAGATGCAGAACGGGATTAGGCAGAGACGTAAACAATGGACGGTATCATGGCCCCTGAAGGGTGTGGTGGATCCCGGGATCAACCGGGAGTCTAGATTGAAACGCATTTTCTATTCACAAATACCAGAAGATGGACTGGACAGAGTGGCTGGACGGGTGTTCCCTGATGAAGGCATGATGATGGATGATTGTACAATGGCAGTAAACCAGCTGCAGAGAGGCAGCAAGATGCGTCAGATGGAGGGGCGTTGATGCCTAGCGGACTTAGCTAATAGTTCGCTCTTAGCCATGCAATGCAGTCAGTCACTCATGAAATGAAACCAACCAAATCGAATCAATGCTAAGAATAATTCTCCGTCTGACTTGTTCCTCCGACCCTCCCCTTTTCGGTTTCTTGGCGCCACACAGGGCTGGTGATGTGGAACTGGTCTTCCCAGCCAATCGGAATACATACTAACCCTTCAGCCACAGCTCCAGCTCCACTGCGTATCATCCCCGTATCATGGATCATCATCCAGCGGGTTATGTCTTCCCCGTTGGGCAGGGTTCCAGAAGCTGGGTTGTTCAACCGCGTGAGCATAGCCACCTCAAAAGTGAGATTTTAAATTGGATAACTGCATCATGCTACAGAAGAGAATAATGCCTCTAAGCGAACTTCCCTAAGCGAAATGCAGCAACGGCGCAAAAGCAAACTAGTACTGTAGTAGCCGCTGTATCTGGAACGTCCATTGATTACGCCAAGACTAGCCCCTCCGATAGCCCCTGACCGAAGCAGCCACGTGTGTCTTACCGAGTGGCTGTACATCCACTGTTAGACTTAGTGGTACACCGTAATAATGACAGGCTCAGCCACATCTGTCGCTGTGCATTCCAGATGCAGTCATCGTTGTCGGACCTGTCTTGACAACACTGTGCCAAGAGCGTACTTACTGACGGATTACATGAGAAGAAAAAATCAGTGCCCCGTTGCCTACAGTTAGATCCTGCGCCATGTCGAGAGGATGCGCGGAGAAAGTACTACTCCTGCGCCAGGAAATCTACTCGGCTTGGCAGGCGATGTATTAGATATTGTTGCATCGGAGCGGGATTTAAGGGTATCAAATGGCCGTACTATTGCCGCAGAAAATCCCGCAATCCATAAGAAAGATCATCTCCGAGAAGTGGTACTTTGCATTCTGAATTGTCTAGACTAAACCAGGCAGCATTATTGGCAATCTCGTTTAATGTAACCATCCTCCTCGCCCACCATCTAACATAAACCCACCGTCTTCTTCCCATGTCTCCGAACCCACCCCCCGTAGTTCACTAACCCCCTCTACTCCACCACCACTGTGCAGTCGGGTGTTAAAACACCCGGTGCTATGACATAGGTCTTGATGAACCCCTGGCAGCCGCTTATCCTCCAGCAGTGCCAAGATCGCTGGACTGTCCACTGCCAGGATAATAAAACGCAGCAACACTAGAAGCCTGTTAGCCACCGAATAAACGCGACCCTGGAAAGAGTTGAACTTACCCTATGATCACATAGGCTGCAATGAGCAAAGACCCTTCCAAATAGTTGCTTCGGCCATCCAAGACCAGGAAGTTGACAACGAAGGCCGTGACAAACAGACAGATGGTCTCGAATAGCGTGAAGTACAAGGACATGTCCTTGTCCATACACCAACCCAGGATGACCACCAGTGGCGTAACAAAGATAGCTGTGACGAATGAGCCCCTACTCCCAGAGGAAAAAAAAAAAACAATAAGAACATACCGATTTGGATACTACTTCCTACCGATACACCGATCGCCAGGTCCATCTTATTTTTGGTGGCTACACTGACGGCGGTCACGTGCTCGGCGGCGTTGCCAACAATAGGGAGGATGATCAGACCGATGAAGGCTTCACTGACAGACGAGCTCTCGATCATGGTGGGGATAGCGTCGACGAGGAACTCCGCACACACTGCGACAAGACCGGTCGACACCAGAAGCATCACCACCGCTGCGGTGCGAGACATTTCGGGTTCCGGCTGCTCGGGAACCGCTTCAGTTGGGTTGTTGGCCACGGCCGTAGGCATGCGAGAAGCACCCCGGGCAAACTGAACGGCATTGCCTGGAGGTGGTGGGCGGTTGGTGAAAGAAGGTAGAGAATGCGTGCGTCGAAGGCCATAGGGATTCGAGGGACTGGCGGGAACTGCTGAGTTGGGGGCGGCCAAGTTACTCGAGAAAACCGTGTTGCTCAACAGAGATGGAATGGTTGGACGGAAGGGCGATCGCCTTTTGGCGGGTTCAGTTGCTTCTCCAACCTCCGCCGTAGGCTGAGGGTGATCAAAGGCGGGTTCTGTCTGGGATGTTTTCATGGATGGGCGGCCGGTCACAGTTGTGCCCTTCACAGAAGCGGCGGTATTGTCCTTTTCGGCACGACGCTGCTTCCGGCGCTCACGCCTTTTCGCCTTTCGATCCTCCTTGGAGGCTTTGTCCTGTGGTTGTCCAAAGTCCCGGGTCTGAGGTTCATGATCGGCATCGTATCGGCTGTCATCTCCAAAATCGATGACAAACGAGCCAGACCCGTCGGCTTGAGTAACACTCAGGTCACCCGCAGAACCAGCATGCTCATCTATAACGGCTGCAGGAGGAATATCGGCCGAGGACTTCTTACGGAATGACTGTGGAGAAACCGTGCCATGCGAGCTGGTGCTCGACTTGCGATGACGCCTATGTTTCATGGCTCTCTTTATACGCTTGGCGGTGGACCAGGAGGTTGTCGTATCCACAGACTCATCCGATGAACTGCTCGAGTCTGACGAACTGTTCATGAATTCAGCCAGAACACCGGGGTGAGATTCCTCATCAATGATCTGTTGTGGGATACTGGCGTAAAGATAGGCGTGGGATTTAAGCTGGAATATGATGTACAAGACGTACACCAGAAGCAAGACCTGATCGAAAAGTTAGAAAGGTAGGACATGAATGACAGTTGATACTACTTACAACACTTGTTCCACGGCTAACTTTGAGCGTGTATTTATCTGCATCTCCAGCGTCCGACCAAGAAGCGTGGAACGCCGTCTGGATACGTCAGTAAGTATAGGGTAAACCGAAAGGATGCGCAGACATACTGGTAAGAGCAAACTCATGACACTCAAACTGAGAAGACATGCACTCATCTGCGTGACAGTGCTATTATAGATCTGGCACATGTTAGTTTGGCGAATGCGTACAGCTTATGTTGCTGGCAGATTTACCTGTTCCTGGAAGCGCAAGCCTCCCAAGAGGAAGGCCATACCCAAGATCAGCAGTAGGTTTGCTAAGATGGATCCCAGCAGGGATGCTTGGACGATCCGAATCTCATTCTGGACAGAGTTAGAGCGATCCTCAAGTCTGTTGCAGAACCAATTGACTCACCTTGACTAGGGCAATACTGAACGAATCCGCTGTGATTAGTATTTGTGTGTGCACATGCTCTTATAAGCAACAACTTACATGCTACCGAAATGTTAGCAACAGTCAGGGGTAAATGGGTGGGATTGGGAACATACAAGATGATCAACTCTACTGCATTTCCAAAGGTGACGTTGATGAGTGCACCCACAGTGTCACCCAATCGACTAGCGACACACTCGGTGGCATGGCTGAGCAGACCGGCCAAGGGGATGATAGCTATCGCATTCATGGCAAAGACCAGGCCTGGATTGAGTCCAGCGGCCTGGACCGCAATGCCGACAGGGACGAAGACGAGCAGCACATTGACCCAGCTGTGGCACAGGGCGCGTTTGGTGTGTCCGGTGAAGCGAACAATTCCATCCTTCATCCGGACGAACAGTGGGCGCTCAGTGGTTTGATTGGCATCTTTTTCCGACTCCGGCCTGGCCGGGTCACGTATACCTTCTTTCACTTGAGCATCTTGAGCCGAAGCGTCCTCGGAGGACTGGGTGTTGGACTGGTTTTGACCCTGGGAATTATTCGGGGTAGACGCGTGAGCTTTCGCCCACGAGTGAATCCGGTCTGCATAGCAAAGAGATAGAATGTTAGTCAGGGGGGTCAAGATAGATACAATCATCGATGAGATGTCAAATGAAATCGTTGAGGAGGGCCTCTAGTGGGCCAGGGAAGGGATGGCGATAGGAGGCAGATAGGGAGAGGCACTCACGCATGTATTTCAGAGCCAGGAACGGAAAGGATCAGATAGAGAAGGCAAGAGGGGCCCTCGATAAGACGTGTGTGATAAACTGGTAAGAGGAAGCTGTGTCAAACACAGGAACTGAAGAAGCAAGCCAAGCTTCAGGAAGGAGAATATAGATAGGAAAAGAGGGTCCCTGGAAGTAACCTGCGCGACCGGACTATTATAAGGGAATGGAGAAGTCAACCTTTCTGGGACGGGGGGGGGGAGCCCTGTGGCATGGAAGCAGGACCAATGATGCTTGCCAAGACAGCAGGATGATCATCCTGATCCTGACCTTATTCCGAACTGGAGCCATGGTCCGCCCCGTTTCGCAGCACTTGAGTCGCAGTGAATTGCCGTCGCCTCGACACGCAGCTTGTCTCCACCTTACACCTTATCAATCATGGCCAACAGTTGCTCTAACATCCTATCACATCATTTCTAGATACCTACTCGGACTAGTACTCCAAGTACTACCGCTGAGGTCATCTCCTCCTGTGGTATTTCCGATCAGAGCTCGGAGGACTTGAATTCCAATGGTGTCATCGGCTATTTTTCAATTTCGGACTCGGAGATGTCAGCGTTTGTCAGTCGACAGAGAAGCAGAAAAGTTGAATACTAATGATGAATCAGATAGCTACTATTATTCTTGGGCCGCCCGATAGGATGGAGTTCTCCACCCCTGGGCCGCGGATCCATAGAGGCAAATCTCAATCTATCTCACCCTTTCCAGAATCCGTCCATGAGATGCACACCTACGACATCAACAGTGGGGCCAGCGAAACTAGGGTTGAAAGGAGTCAACAGTAGTTGATTATGAGACTACTACGGATCTAGATTATTCGACTTGGTAGCTCTATTTCAGGCTGCCGTGGCTTGCAGAGGTAAGGGGGTAAGATGCCCCGTTACGCAACGGATAGAACAGAACACAGACACACAGAACGATGACTGAAAGTTGTGAATTCCATTACCCCGACCGAGAATTGAGGCCAGAACGGGCTGGCTTGGAAGTGATCTGCCAAGTCCACCCTGTCTTTCTCAACAAATAAAACTCTTCCCCCAAGTCTTCTCCCCGAGAGTCCCTCCAATCAGACCTGCTGGTTTCCTGCGCCTGCCCCGAAGCCCACTAGTGGCTCGCTCTTGATTGGTCGGCACTACGTCAGGAGTCAGCCTCGTTTCGGTAGCATTTCTCCGGATTCCGGTATCCCATACCCGTACTTTACAGGGGAGCCAACAGCTTTGGGTAACGCGTCACATGAGCTTGTCCCTGCAAAGGTTCAATGAGCTTTCGTCAGCGTCAGAATCTCTCCGGAATGTTGACATGTCTTCTTGTCGCTCAACACGTATTCATGGTACACAGTACTTTCAGTATCTCTCTCAAACGTCCACCTTGGCCATTCAGCGCGGTTCCTTAAAATCCGCTGACTCACGATCTAGACCATGGACTCGTCATCCCCAACCGTCTCCGCAGCAGTGTGGCTGAGCGAGAAGTTATGGCTGTGCCGTGGACCGTTGTGATGGAACTGCCATCGACGCATTGAGTTCATATTGACGGTGCCTTCGGACAGATTCCATCCTATCATTATAGTTTCAGATCACTGTCGCTTATTGCGTTTCCGGCTTGGCATCTGTAAATGGAATGAGAACCAGACAACTCTGGCCTTCTTCATTGTTTCTCAACAAAGTATATCTGGATATTCTGGATGCGATGAGATCATGACGGCCGAGCGCGCCTCGTAATCCCGCAACAGCGTCCGATTTGGAAGATGCATGTCCGGATGCCAGTGCATCTGACCGTCTTGGCCAGTGGGTAGAAGCACAAAGAATAGTAACCACGACTAGAGTACATATGCGGGGTGATGTCCTAGCGTACACTGGTACCTTTATAGGCATGATGTGTCCGTCCACTCGTCATCATGTCGCGCTGGATTTAACTTCAGCCAACCACTCGAGCACCTGTTCCATTCATTGCGAATTGACTCAAAGCGTAGAACACGAGTCATTTTATGGCAAAAGCATCATTTATCCTCCCCGAAAGCCTACAGCGACAGCCTATGTATTGGTCACGTGATTGAATGCGGAGGGATGTGACGGCAAAGGTTTCATCCGCTCACATTATCGTCCGCTTCCTATTCTTTCCTCTACTCAATACTGGCTCGTCGGGGAGTTACATTAAGACCAGTAAAATATGTTAGAGACCTTATCTTACTGCTCAGACTCGGATCCCGATAAGATGGGAAATGATAATCTTCATCCGCAAGGTTGCTACTCGCCCAAAAGACTAGATCATCTCCTACGCATACAACGTATTATGGCATCACCTGATACTGCCAATCAGCCATCCTGACCAGGTAGAGAACACCACAAAGAAGCCCTGCCTGCTATTCCTCTAACTATGTCAGCCATATACCTCAATAAAGAGCTATCTGATGGCCGAAATCCCCAGCCGATATTGCTGCGGACGCCCCGTGCAGAAGAAACCTTCTTCTATCGGCATTTGGCTCGGCACGCGTCACGAGATCCAGGCACGGCAACCCGACCCGGATGCAACCGTCACTCAGCCCGGCTCGATCGAAGGATCAGAAGAATGAAATTTCTTCACTTAAATCTACAGCCTTTATTTAATCAGCCCATATGCGGACATACGCAGTATCCTGCTTCCCGTAACCTTAGCTGTACGAATACAGCCGTCAATGCGCAATGGCTCCATCAAGGAGCGCTGGCGGGGGTAGAATGGCTAGGTTGCTGAGGTAGGCAACTGTCGCAGTATCTGTGTAGTTGGGATGAACTAAAACTTTTCAACAGTATTCTAAATCCCTTGACATGGAGACAGCGGCTCGACTTGGACACTCGGTCCTTCCTTATCATGCTGAAGGGCGCTTTGCCACCGACAATTGTGATAGCGATGTAGGTCATATTACGTATCAATGAATCTCTCGAATTAGTGTAGCTGATATCTAGCAGTTACCAGAGTAGTGCTATATCTGACATCACCCTCACAATTGGATATCTATCAGCTCTTATTTCGGTCCTGTCTCAAGCACTGACACCGCGGGCCAAGTTCATGCGGATCATGTTTTATGATCTCTTGTCAACATGTGTATCAGCTTCTCTTTGTTGCTTAGCTATATTCTGCGCCGTACGAGCGAGACAACATAACACCCCTCCAGATGCTAGCGAGGCCGTCCGGAATGGCTTCAGTAGCGATGCCTGTGCCGTGTCCGCTATATGGCTGATATTCATGATTTGGTATGTCCGATTTCTACTTCAATAGCATTTTCAGATTCACTGAACCTATGCAGGGCCGCAAATACCATCCGTGCTTGGCGCCCGCAGGAGCTGCAGGATCCTATGGTAGCTTTCTCAATCTTTTCTTCTGTTACTATCACTCGCGGTGGCATGTTCACCACACTATCCGAGGGTCTTTCATTCGTTTCTAGACTGTTGAAGGGGTTTATGCTGGGGTTTGCCATTGCTACCGGGGTCTCTCTTCTTATACTACCAATTACTAGCCGCGGACATGTCTTCGACGACATCAGGGGTTACGTCGCGCAGATCGATAACGTACTCCAGTCCCAGATTGACTTTGTCCAGGGGACATCAGAGGTATGGACCGGAGGTCAAGGGCTTCTAAAGAGGACGCGCACGGCACGAAGTATGCGAGACATGCAGAACAGTCCCAGTTCGGATCTGGAAGCGAAGCAGAAGCGCTTGACAGCATCAATCACCAAATTGAACGGATTACACGGGAAGCTACAGTCAGACCTGCTCTACTCGAAAGACGAAATTGCATGGGGCAAACTATCAGCAGGCGACCTGAGTAGGATTGGAGGGCTGCTGCGAAGTGTTTTGCTGCCCCTTTCGGGAATGGCTATGCTGCCTGAGGTGTTGGACATGATTGTCGGGAACGAAGCAACGCGCAACAACAGTGTGAGATCACTCGACGCCAAGGAGGATTCTGTGAAACAATCCGAGATGCAGAAGGTAGCCCAAACGCTTCAAGACCGCCTTGTGGACTCTTCCAGGTTGGCGACAGTTGGATTACAATATATCTTGCTGGCTCTTGGGCTATCTAAGCGCAAGAAAATCGAGAAACAATACTCAGGAAAAGCAGATGAGGAAGGGACCGGAGAACTACTCACACCACTAGAGCCACAATTTGCACAGCGTTTTGAACAAGAAATGCGAAACTACTTCTCACGCCGCAAGGACCTCACAAGAAACCTTGCCTCCCTTGAGGCGTTTACGGTCTTAGAGAAGCCGGATGATGCCACCTCCCAGGAAGACATGGCGGCCATTGCGACAGACCCTGACGTCAAGCAGGAGTTCTTTCTAATTCTCTTCATGGGACATCTGCAGGACAACCTACTGACCGCGACCCTCGACTTGATCCGTTTCGCTGATGACCGAATTCAGGATGGCACTATGAAGCGCAGCAGACTGATTCTCCCCAGACTCATTACCATCCGTAAATGGCTTTCCCTTAATACCGACCACGACACCAAGTCTGCTCCGGATCGGAGACAATCATCTCATGTCGATCCAGCTGCCCTTGGCCAGACCGAAGCGGATAACTTCCCAGATCCTGAGCACCTGCCCCCGGCCAACTGGTTTGAGAAGAGCAGCCTGGCGCTTCGCTACTTATCGCACATTATTCGTTCCGAGCAAAGCATTTTCGGCTTCCGCGTTGCAGCAGCTGCATTTTCCGTTGGTATTCTGGCATACCTGCGTAAGACACAGGACTTCTTCACCCACCAAAGATGCATCTGGGCCATGATTGTCATCGTGATCGGGATGAACCCGACCAGCGGACAGACAATGTTCGGCTTCGTTGCACGCATCGTCGCAACAGCCGTCTCGTTAGTCCTGAGTTTGATTGTGTGGTATATCGTGGACGAGAAGACCCCAGGCGTCATAGTATTCCTCTACCTCGCCAACGTCTTCGAGGTAAGCCAGCATCCTCTACGTACCAGCCACCTACTAACCCCTCCAACAGTACTACTTCTACGTTAAAGTCCCGCAATACTTCGGAGCCTCCGTGATCGCCATCGTCACTCTAAACGTCATCGTAGGCTACGAGCTACAAGTAAAAACCTCTCCCGAATCCCCTCAAAACAACCCACTCTAACCCAACCAGGTCCGCAAACTCGGCATCGAAGTCGCCACCTCCAACGGCCAGCCCTACTACCCCATCTACCTCTTCGGCCCATACAAACTCGCCGCCGTCGCCGCCGGCTGCGCCATCTCCTTCTTCTGGGTCATCTTCCCCTACCCCATAACCGCCAAAACCACACTCCGCAAGACCCTCGGACGCGGACTCTTCGTCCTCGCCAAGTTCTACAGCTGCATGCACACGACCATCGAGCTCTGGCTCACCGGCGAACTCGACACCACCACCACCTCCACCACCACCGAAGACGGCGACATCCGCTCCGCATCCTCCACTCTCCAACGCACCCGCCACAAAGTCTTCAAAGAAGAAATGCTCCTCCTAAACAGCCTCCGCATGCACAGCCACTTCAGTTCCTTCGAGCCTCCTATCGGTGGGAAGTTCCCCCGTGCAACTTACGATGAAATCATCTCGCAGATCCAGCGCATGCTCACTAGCATGGCGTTAATGGCGCATACCACTCAGAACATGGATGCTTTGTCCTCCACAACCACAACCAACTCCACTGACAATAGTGACAATAACAATAATAATAAATGGATCTCCCGCCTCGCCTCAATAGCCCTCCAATCCAGCGGCTTCAAATCCCACAAAATCACCTCCCTGCTCTGCCACTTGTCCGCTTCGGTGCAGAATTCTCAGCCTTTACCGCCGTATCTCGAGACGGGGGATACATTCCCGCTTGCGAGGGAGCTGCAGCGCATTGATGAGGAGTTGTTGAGTATTCGACATGTAGAGGATCCGGCTTTCTCGGCGTTTGTTTGTCTGGAGGTTCTGAGGTCCGTGGTTAGTTGCTCGTTGGATGATTTGTTGAGGTAGGTGGTTGATTTCCCCTTTTCCTTATAATATTTGAAATGATGTGGATATGTTTACTAATGATTTTTCTTGTTACAGGAATGTGAAAAGCTTGGTTGGGGAGTTGAGCTTTGATTTGCATGTTCGGGATGAGGGTGAGATGCAGCGGTTGTTGATGCAGGAGGAGTAAGTGGTTGGCTTTGGGTGTGCGGATGTTTTTGTATATTATTGTGATATGTATATATTGTTGTTTATGAAATCTACATTTTGACTAGCATGGCATGCTCGTTTACCTAGGTTATGTGCTCAGATAAGTATACAGTGACGGAAAGCTCAAATGTCTATATCATAGCACACTGCTAAATGTACTATATACTACATACACACACATACTATAAATACAAGCAATCTACACCCTACAAAGCAACCCACTCCTCAAATCAAACTCCCACTCATCACTCCCCACCCCCGAATACACCCAAAGACTTCCCCTCGGATCATACCTCCTCTTGACCTCCACCAACCTCTCATACCCATCTCCATAGAAATCCCTCTTCCAGGTACTACTAAACGGATTGCCCTCATTCATATACGCCCCCATATTCGGCGCCCAATTCCTCCACACCGGCTCCAGCACACTCTCATACCACTCCGCCGCATCAGCCAACGATGCAGCAGGGTCACCTGTTGCATTCACGGAGCCGCCATATGCCATGACGTGTGCGTAAGCGCTGCGCCAGGACGGAAGGACGCTCCCGCGGCGTTGTTCGGGCACGTTCGCGGTGCCGCGGCCGCCCTGAAGGCCGAAGATGAGGAGGGTGCCCGAGCCGGATTGGGAGGTGGAGATTTGTTGCAAGTAGTGGATGAGATCCGGCTGGGGAAGAGTGGCAAGTTCGGATTTGCCGAGAAGGTGGCTTGTGAAGAGGCTGGCTGCGCCGGCAGATTGGCTGGCGAGGAAGTTG